TCGTCGACCACCTAGGCCGACGACCATCAGCCGACTTCACCAAGTCGGCGTCACCAGATCGGCATCTCCCCCCCTCCCCCCAAAAAGGTCGACAAGTCCCTTTGTTGACCACACAGCAGCCGGCTTCACTAATGTCGACACCACGGAACCCGACTTCCTCCAAGTCGGCTTCAACGTTGAAGTCGGCTAATCATGCCGACTTAGCCAACCACAAAGTCGGCTACCCGCAGGTCGGCGAAACCCTTCGTCGACCACACCAGTCAAAGTCGGCCACCGGCTTCTCGTCGTCAGCGACTTTGCTGTGGCTCCGTGCAGGTCGACCACCTTCGTTGACCTGCTCCTAGGTCGGCGACGCCCACTGCAGACGGTCGGCTGCACCTCCCGCAGACCCGCCCACGCCCAAGCGAGGACAGAGCCAACTCTCGTTATCACCATCGGCTCCCGACTTCTTAAGAACCCATTTGCATCCCACCAAGTAGGCACCCTTCTATTCTCGAACTCGTCGTTCTCTTTGATCAAGGGCAGTCCATTACTTTCTTCCATAATAATGCACACGAGAATCCAAAGCCTCCATATGGGTGCGAGGGTTATCATCGCCCATGGTTGCGAAGCAATATGCCGCACTTTCCTCATCCAACTCCCCAACGGCTACCGTAGCAAAGTCGGCGTACTTGGGGTTGGGGTGAGGTTCACGACGCTCACGGGTCAATGCTTATGGTGGGGAGGAAGATGTGGATGAAGTTTTCGCTGTGGTTGGTGGCACTTCCACAATATAATCGCTGCTCTCCTCGTTGTTCTCCCCCCTTTTCAATACAAGTTCCCTTTTCCACTTGTGGTGGAACCTCCATCTGTTCATCCTCCTCTTGTGCTAGAAGGAGGAAGGTGTTGCGGCACTGGTTTTTCATGCGACGGGAACTTGCCCTCTTCAAGCACCGCATCCCGAGAGGTGACACCGCGCTGTCTTCCCAAACCCCACACCCATCACGCATGCTCGTTCGGCGCAATTCCCAAGAAAACCGCTTCATGAGCCTTCGGTTGTAACTTGTGACGAAGGGGGGGCGGTACATGGTAGTAGCAAAGGCACCCAACGGTGCGTATGAAAGATATGGTCGACTTCGTTCCAGTCCATACTTCGAACGGCGTCAGTCCCAGAAGCACCTTGATTGGCAAGAGATTGCTCCTCTCCTTCTTCGCATTCTTTCCCTGCTGCTTCTGTCAATGCGGGTGCGGGTCAGGGCCTATTTTTGGATTTTAGGTACTCTGATTTCCAGAGTAGTTTTTATCCCAACTCTGAAATCTAGGGTTGTTCCTGCGCCTTACTCTGATTTGTCAGAGTAACCCTATACTTTCAAAAAAAACCCAGGCACGTCAGAGTAATATTTTTCTCTACTCTGATGTTAGTTAAGTTTGGTGTACCATGACCTTAATAGGTTTTTGTTACGCCTTTTGTACTTGCATTTCCGCGTCGCCCACGTTTCCCCCCTCACTGCGATGTTTCAGAGTGAGGTGTTGGCGGCACCGATAATCTGACTAAGGGCGTGTCCGAAGTGAAACGTCAATAGATGTCGCTGGATGTCGGTAAATGTCATCCCTCGGATCGACAGTTCCAACCGTCAGGATTTACCGACATCCCCAAACGGATGTCCACGGATGTCGACGTTTCACTTCGGACACCCCCAAAGAGCGTGTCTGAAGTGAAATGTCGACGGATGTACAGTTTCGTCGGGGAATGCTGGCGAATCTCAACCCTCGGATTGAGCGTTCCGACCGTCAGGATTCCTCGACGTCCCTCAAAGTTTCGTCGGGAAACGTCGACGTTCACTTCAGACATAAAGAGAGAGGGGACTGGCTGGCATCGTGCGCTGGTTGGGAAAGTTGTCAAACTACGGTAGCCAATCAGTGCTCATATTGCCGCCAACACACGACAGAAATCAGGAGAATGATCTCGACGATTCGGGGAAAACCCGCTAAACGCAGGGGGAGGTGGGGAGGGGAGGGGGGCGGGGGAGGGGGGGCCGGCAGGTATTCCCTATACAGAGTAAATTCGGTCCCCGAAAAAAAAACCCAGAGGCCTCAGAGTAAACTACAGCATAACTCTGACAAATCAGAGAAATCAGAAGTCCCAAAAAAATTACCCAGCGGGTACAGTTACTTTCAAAAATGACTCTGATTTTCAGAGAAACAGAGTAATTTACTCTGAAAACGTGAGGCCTGGTGCGGGTGCTGAAGCATGAGCAGTGGTGTTTGTCTCCGTGAGCCACGCCTCAACATGTCACAATTTGTGTGTTGTGTTGTCTTGCCTTGCTGATGTTTCGCCATCAACATTTTCAACGGTCTTGCCAGGCAAAACAAACTTTCGTGCATTGTTACAGATAACTGGTCTTGGCGGACACACTTGTGTTATAGATAAATCGATCAATTTGTTTCAGTGGAATACATCGGAATCACGGACACTAGACGCCAGGAGTAAAGAGATTGTTAAATAGCGGGTGAGTGTGCCCATTACCCCCAAGGCTCTGCACCCTAGGATCAAAATGACATCCCCAGTGCAGGTCTTCTAACAAAACATAGGTAGGTGGTGGATCAAGATGCCTTGGAATGAAAGAATGATGCTACACCCGTATGGAGGGGTGGTATACTCTAGATATTACGGTAGGTGCTAGATGCTAGATGCTAGAGTACTCTATCTATTCTAGATGGTAGATGGTAATTGGTATATGGAAATGGTGAATGGAAAATGGAAAATGGTAGATAGCAGGTAATTGGTATCATGGTATGATATGTACATGGCATGCCAGCCAGTGTGGTGGTCTTAGAAACGGTGATAATGCCATGCCCCGCCATGCCATGCCGTGCCATGCCCTGCCCTGACATGCCATGCCCTACCATGCACTACCATGCCGTGCCATGCCATGCCCTGCCCTGCCCTGTCAGGCCATGCCATGCCCTGCCATCCCATGCCATGCGCTGCACTGACTGCCATGCCATGCCATGCCATGCCATGCCATATCTATATAACTACTTCATCCAAGTGCTGCCTCAGCACTCTCAGAGCCTCAAAATTCTGAGGATCGAGGAGAACAGGAGAGGCTGAGAGGCCAGCAATCACTGTGTACAGCTGGTGATGTAGCAGCAGCAGCAGCTGCGGCAGAAGCAGCAGGAGCAGAAGTCTCAGCAGCAGCATGAACAGCAGTTTCAGCAGCAGCAGGAGCTGCAGTTTCAACAGCAGTGGTTGCTGCGGCTGCTAGGTTTGCTGGGACTGAAGGAGCGACATGGGCAGCAGAGGTGTTAGGTGGAGCGAGAGAGACGAAGGGAATGGGAGAGAAGTGAGCGGTGGGAGTATGAGCAGGGAAATGGGAGGGAGGATGAACAGTAGTGCCATGTCCTATCACACAATCAGCAGAGGCAGGAGCAGGGGCAGGAGCAGGAGCAGGAGCAGGAGCAGGAGCAGGAGCAGGAGCAGGAGCAGGAGCAGCAGCAGCAGAGGCAGCAAGTAGAGAAGAGACAGGAGCAGCAACAGCGCCAGCACCACTGCAACTGCTAGCCCTGGCAATCTTCGATTCAGTCAAGCTGGGGCTGCTTGGAGTGTGCATGAGAATACCCGGTTTTATGTCGGGCGATTGGAGGTAGTGGTCTGTGTGGTGAGGGGGACAGGAGGGTGTAAGATGACGCGAGGAACAAGGAGAAAGCTGGGAGGGAGAGAAAGGGTGAGGCGGAGGGAAAGGAGAGGGAGGTGGCATGTGCAGTGGAGTGGGGAAGTTTTGAGGCGACTTGAGGGTTGGCTCAGGGAAAGGGTGAGGTGGCGGGGGGAATGAAGGAGGTGGGCAGTGGGGCGGGGCTGGAAAATATGCTGCCAGGGGTGGTGGGTGAGTGGGAGGAGCAGCAGCGGCAGCAGAAGCAGTGGCAAACGCAGCAGATGCAGGAGGGGGGGGAGGAGCAGGAGGAGCAGGAAAGCCAAGAGGGGAGAGGGGAGGATGAGATGGAGGGCAGGCAGCAACAGCAGCAGCAGCGGCAGCAGCCGAAGCGGCAGCAGCCGAAGCAGCTGCAGCAGAAGCAGCGGCGGCAGCGGCAGCATGGGGAGGGGTGCAGGGGGGAGCGAGGCTGCTGCGTCTCTCCTTGCGCCACTGCGCAAGTGTCTTGCCTTCCACAAATATCGTCGTTCCAGGGTTGCGGTCCTCTCTTCCTGCGTGCTGGGAGTGCCACAAGACAGAGGGAGAGAGAGAGAGATAGAGAGGAGAAGAGGAGAAGAGACTATACCTTGCATGTCTGTACGCTTTGACTATCAATGAAAGGGCCATTAGAGAGGAGAAGAGGCATGCAAAGCAATGTGTAATGACCAGCTGGTAGTGACGGGCAGAAACAGATGATGGCACTTTAACTTGTGTTAGCTGCACGGAGGAACATACGGCAGCATCCGCTGTTGTTACTGTGTCATGATTGGTAGCAGCATGCATAAACGCCAGCACAAGCAGCAGCATCAGCACCAACACCAGCAGCATCTGCAGCATCAGCCCCAACACCAGCAGCATCTGCAGCATCAGCATCAGCACCAACACCAGCAGCCTTTACCTTGCCACATCACCATCTGGGAACAACAGCACGATTGAATCACTTTTGAGAACAGCCGTTTCACAAAAAGTGATACACGCACCGTGAAAAACAGCATGCATGCACGAGTTTAGTCGCCCATTTCCTTACTTGGCAATACCCCCTCCTCCCCCCCTCCAGTCTCCCTGCATCCCGCTCTATCCATTGCAACCACTTTCAACCGCACTGAACCCCATGATGTACCTGTGTGAAGCGAGTGAGAGACATCTGAGAGGCGTGGCAGTCACAGCGAATCACCAGGCGGCCGCCTTCCGTCTCCTGCAACTCCCCCTCTGCATGCAAGCACAGGGGTTGGGTTGGGTTTGGTTGGGTTGGGTTGGGTTGGGTTGGGTTGGGTTGGGTTGGGTTGGGTTGGTGGAGGAAGGGGGAGGAGGTGAGGTGGGGAGGTAAAATTAAAGTGGTCTCAGAAGTCTCAAGGCGGCCAGCCTCCGTCTCTTGAAGCTACACCTCTGCGTGCAGGCAATGGGGTTGGGAAAGGAAGGGAGGGAGGGAGGGAGGGGAGGTGGGAATGTGATTTTCGAGTGGAGGTACTAAAAAGTCACTAGGTGAAGCGGGTCCAAGAGAAGAGGGATGTTTGGCAGGGGGTTGGTTTAGAATGGGGTTGAAGAGAAGGTGGTTGAATACAAGTGGTTGCACGAGCTGAGTTGATAATGATTCAAAAGCTGCTCAGCAACGCACCAATCTGTTTTCCAGCGTACCTCGGGCACGTGACTTGCACACGAGACGGAGCGATGGGAGTTGAAGAGAGGAGGGATGAAGAGAAGGGAGTTGAAGAGAGGAGGGATGAAGAGAAGGGAGTTGAAGAGAGGAGGGATGAAGAGAAGGGAGTTGAAGAGAGGAGGGATGAAGAGAAGGGAGTTGAAGAGAGGAGGGATGAAGAGAAGGGAGTTGAAGAGAGGAGGGATGAAGAGAAGGGAGTTGAAGAGAGGAGGGATGAAGAGAAGGGAGTTGAAGAGAGGAGGGATGAATAGAAGGGAGTTGAAGAGAGGAGGGATGAAGAGAAGGGAGTTGAAGAGAGGAGGGATGAAGAGAAGGGAGTTGAAGAGAGGAGGGACGAAGAGAAGGGAGTTGAAGAGAGGAGGGATGAAGAGAAGGGAGTTGAAGAGAGGAGGGATGAAGAGAAGGAGTTGAAGAGAGGAGGGATGAAGAGAAGGGAGTTGAAGAGAGGAGGGATGAAGAGAAGGGAGTTGAAGAGAGGAGGGATGAAGAGAAGGGAGTTGAAGAGAGGAGGGATGAAGAGAAGGGAGTTGAAGAGAGGAGGGATGAAGAGAAGGGAGTTGAAGAGAGGAGGGATGAAGAGAAGGGAGTTGAAGAGAGGAGGGATGAAGAGAAGGGAGTTGAAGAGAGGAGGGACGAAGAGAAGGGAGTTGAAGAGAGGAGGGATGAAGAGAAGGGAGTTGAAGAGAGGAGGGATGAAGAGAAGGGAGTTGAAGAGGGGAGGGATGAAGAGAAGGGAGTTGAAGAGAGGAGGGATGAAGAGAAGGGAGTTGAAGAGAGGAGGGATGAAGAGAAGGGAGTTGAAGAGAGGAGGGATGAAGAGAAGGGAGTTGAAGAGAGGAGGGATGAAGAGAAGGGAGTTGAAGAGAGGAGGGATGAAGAGAAGGGAGTTGAAGAGAGGAGGGATGAAGAGAAGGGAGTTGAAGAGAGGAGGGATGAAGAGAAGGGAGTTGAAGAGAGGAGGGATGAAGAGAAGGGAGTTGAAGAGAGGAGGGATGAAGAGAAGGGAGTTGAAGAGAGGAGGGATGAAGAGGAGGGAGTTGAAGAGAGGAGGGATGAAGAGAAGAGAGTTGAAGAGAGGAGGGATGAAGAGAAGGGAGTTGAAGAGAGGAGGGATGAAGAGGGTTACCAGTCTGCTCTCCAGCGTAGCTCGAGCACGTGACCCGCACACGAGACGGAGCGGCCACATGCACTGCTGATGCCAGAGTGGTGGTTCCATGTGCCGCCAAACTCCCACCAGCAGCACCAGGTCCCACCGCACTCGCACCACCACCAGCCCCATACATGAATGAATTGCACCCGCCATGCGCCACCCAGCCACCACCGCTGACAGCAGCAGCAGCAGCAGCCGCTGCAGCAGCAGAAGTGGCAGCAGTAGCTGTTACAGCAGCAGCAGAGGCTGCATCAGCAGGAGCAGCAGCAGCACCACCAACAGCACGTGTAACTCTCAACACGGCTCCTCCCAACGAATCTTCTCCTTCTATGCCCCCACTCCTTATGATTCCTCCCACCAAACCCACACTCCCCAACCTTTCGCCTGTTCCGCTCCCTCGTCCTCTTCCCGGGGAGGCTGTACTTGGGTAAGGTGGACATTGCAACCAGTTGAAGCTCCTCCTTTCTCCTCTCTCCTCTCCTCCTCCCTCCCTGCCACGCTCCCTTCCGCTCTCCACTCCTCCATCTGCTCCTCTCTCCAACGGCACTATCCCTTCCCCCCTGGCGGCACCTGGTCTTGCTGAACATGCGTGGGTAGCGGGAGGGTTCTGAAGCTCTCCCTTTCCCTGTCCTGTGGTACCGTTATGGGTAGCGGGAAGGTTTCGTGAGTCTCCCTTCCCTTCCCCTGTTGTATCGGCACAAATAGCGGGAGGGAGAGGAGATGCCATAGACAGCAGTGCTCTGGGAGTCACGGATCTGGTAGGAGAGCATAGGGAATCTCCCTTCCCGTCTCCTGTGGTATCGGTATGGGTAGTGGGAGGGAGAGGAGATGTCATAGACATAAGTGCTCTGGGAGGCACGCATCTGGTAGGAGAAGGAGAGCATAGGGAGGAGGTGGATGGAAGACCTCCGCAGCCCGCCTGTGCGCTACCAGCTGCTCTGGGAGGCACAGGTCTGGTGGGGGAGCTTAGGGAGGAGGTGGAGGGAAGGACGAGCAACGGTGTGGTCACACGAGTTGGAGCGAGTAATGGTGGTGGTGGTGGTGCTGGTGCTGGTGGTGCTGCTGCTGCTGGTGCTATTGCTGGTGTTGCTGCTAGCTGTGATTGTGACAGTGGCAGTGGCAGTGGCAGTGGCTGTGGCTGTGATTGCAGTTGTGCATAAGCTGATGCAGCTTCTGCCGCTGCTGCTACCGCCGCCGCTGCGTCGGCAGTTTGTGGCGCTGCCGCTTGCATCGTCGACTCAATCGTATTCTGAGGCACCTCAGAGCCAACCTTGTCTCTGTCTTTGAATCGCCCCGAGAAAGCAGATGAAGAGAGGGAGATTGGGGAGGAGACTGAGCGACTGAGGGAGAGAGATAGAGCCACGGGGGACGTGCTTCTTGATCGCATGGGCACGGGCATGGACCTTGAAAAAGGCTTCTGAGTCGACTCAAACCCCATGGGCTCAAGAAATCCCATGGGAGAAGGAAGAGACCCACTGGAACCTGCGTTTCGTGCGTCTATCGCCATGCCTGGTGCGGGTTTTTGCTTCTCAGGAGCGTCTGAGACTTGCACGCCTTCCCTTGGTTTCTGGGTGTGAGGCACTCCAGTAACCATGTGCGTTCCAGTTCCCACCCCAGAGGGCTTGTGAGGAGCCTCAGAGAGCATGGCTTCAGTGCCGACCTTTCTCTCCTTCTCCATCCCCTTCTCGCTCTCCCTCTCCCTCTCCCTGTCCCTTTCCCTCTCGCTTGGAGCGGACTCAACAACGCACTGCCTCGCGTCTTCCTGAGGGCTTTCCAGTACATGGGCGTTAGCTGCTGCATGTGCCGTGTTGCTTGGCTCGGCCAAAGCCTCGGCCAAGGGCTCTGGCAAAATCTCGGCCAAAGTCTCAGCCAAGGGCTCAACTAAGGTGATTGAGTCTGCTCCTTGCACCTTCACAGGGGAAGGAAATGACAACCAGTGGTCTGAACCACTGCATACTACCTTTCCTCGTATCTCCCCCCTCCCCCCCCCTCCTCCTCCTCCTCCTCCTCCTCCTCCTCCTCCTCCTCCTCCTCCTCCTCCTCCCTCCAGCAGCGCTTCTAGCTGTGTCTCCTTCCCTCCCCTTTCTCCCTCCCTTAACTCCCTGTCACACCCGCTACCATCCCTCCTCTCCTCCTGCTGCGGCTGCTGTGATACATTCTGCGCGCCACCCTTCTCGCCCTCTTGCTCTTCCCTTCCCACACACCCATCCGGTGCAGCTAACTTTCCCCCTCCTCTTTCTCCGTCTTCCCCCTTGCCTGCCTCCCCCCCTGCCTCCCCGCCTGCCTCCCTTGCTGCCCCCCCTGCTGCCTCCTCTCCTTCCTCCCTTCCGTCCTCTCTCCTCATATCCCCATCTCCCATTTCGACGTCCACTGATCCATGTGAGAGGTACACCCGGGCACTCGACAGCGCATGATTATGCTGCTGCTGCTGCTGCTGCTGCTGCTGCTGCTGCTGCTGCTGCTGCTGCTGCTGCTGCTGCTGCTGCTGCTGCTGCTGCTGCTGCTGCTGCTGCTGCTGCTGCTGCTGCTGCTGCTGCTGCTGCTGCTTCTGCTTCTGCTGCTGCTGCTTGTGCTGGGAATCAAGAGGAATTGTGAGAAGTGTAGGGGCCGGAGACTCTCTGGTGTCCCTCGGTGTGAGGGACAGGGTAAGAGTGAGTTCATCTGGTGTGGCGTGGTGGGGTGGGGGAACAGTAAATGGCGGAGAAAACAAGTAAATTTGTCCGTGTGCATGCGTGTGCATGTGTGTGCATGGGTGTGTGTGCGTGTGTGCGTGTGCATGTGTGTGCATGTGTGTGTGTGCGTGTGCATGCGTGTGCATGTGTGTGCATGTGTGTGTGTGCGTGTGCATGCGTGTGCATGTGTGTGCATGTGTGTGTGTGCGTGTGCATGCGTGTGCATGTGTGTGCATGTGTGTGTGTGCGTGTGCATGCGTGTGCATGTGTGTGCATGTGTGTGTGTGCGTGTGCATACCTGTGCGTGCATGAATGCGCGTGCGCGCACGTGTGTGTGTGTGTGTGTGCGTGAATGCGCGCGTGCACACTTGTTTGCGTGTGTTGCGACTGCTGAAAAAACAAAACGTGTGTGTGTGGCCAGCCTTGGTGCATGTGAGGCGTAGAGTGAGAGCAATGTTGTCTGATAGGCTCTTGCTAAGGACACGACACGGCAGAAGGTGAGAAAGAAGAGATCAGATCCTTTTCCCACCCCGCTCCTGATTTTGGTTATTGTTGTGAGTTCTGAAGTAAAATAAGCGAGTGAGGATGCAACACAAGGTTAGGAGTGAAGGGAGAAAAAAAAAAAAAAACCACGTGACCGTGGGGGGTGGAAGCGGGACAAGCGAGTATGGGGGGAAATAGAAAGAAAGGTGCACAGAAGGACATACGGTCGAGTAACAGGGTCAACCCAAACCAATTCGACCCAATCTTTATCAGGCTGGTTCGGGTCAGATCGGCCCTGGTCAGGTCGGCGAGAGATTTTTCCCGACCCGACCCGGCTTAATAAGGTGTTGATTCGGCAAAAACCCCGAGTCATGTCAGGTTGACCCGCTGACAAATCTCGATCTGAGAGTCAGGTCGGGTTGGGTCCGAGAGTCAGGTCGATCCCACCAGAGGAGTGACTCGAGCGGGCCATAACCTTGGGTTGGGTCAGGTCAACTGGACCAGATCAGACCTGTGCGCATGGCTCTGCAGACTTACATGTGGCCAGGACAGGAGATACAACAAGACTATAGAGTCGGCTCAGAATGCAGTTCTTGGTCTGAAAGGCTGTGCGTCTTACCTTGCTGACAGTGCTCCAGAGACAAGACTGGCTGGTAATGCTTCTGGTGTAACTGAATTTGTTGGGGGTGCTGTTGTTGACCGCCCGTTGACTGCTGTGGTTGACTTCTTGTTGACTGATGTTGTTGACCGCCCGTTGAATGCTGTGGTTGACTTCTTGTTGACTGCTCTGGTTGACTTCTCGTTGAATGCTCCGGTTGACCTCTCATTGACAGCGGTTGCCTGTGCCAAAGCTGCCTCTCTGCCACCCCCTGCTGCTGCTGCTGCTGCTGCTGCTGCTGCTGCTGCTGCTGCTGCTGCTGCTGCTGCTGCTGCTGCTGCTGCTCCTCCAGTGGAGCCACTGCTGATGCCACAACCTCTGCTGCTCCATGTGCTGCTCCCTCTGTGGTGTGTGTTTCCGGGATGACTGCTGGCGCTGCTGCTGCTGTTGCGCCTGGCACTGTCACATGCTGCAGGTTCTGGTGCTGGTGCTGGTGCTGGTGCTGGTGCTGCTGCAGGTGCTGGTGCTGGTGTGCACCTGCTGGCACAGCTGCAGTGTGGTGCGGGCAGCAAGGGCAGTGATGGGACGCAATAGAGCAGGAACGGCACAAAACTGACTCCATTGGTGGTGCTGCTGCTGCTGTTTCTGCTGGTGCTGCTGGTGATACTGCTGGTGCTGCTGCTGATGGGGGTCTCATAAGAGACGCGAGTGCGTATGTGGTGGGATTGATGGTGGTGACATCAGGAGGGATGGGGCCGGAGGAATGTGGGAGTGAAGTGGGAGGAGGGTAGTACAGCGGGGGAAATGCGGGGGGCAGTGAAGCAGGGACGGAGGAAGGGACTGAGGCGGGAAGCGTGGAAGTGGGAGACAGGTAGGATGGGTGAAGGATAGGGTGCGAGACAGATTGGAAGGGAGCAGAATGAGAAGGGATAGCAGGCTGCGGTTGCAGAACAAGCAGAAGGATGGGAGAAGCAGACCAAGGAAGGGAGATCTGGGCAGTGTGAATCCAAGGAGAAGGAGAGTAATGGGCAGGAGGGGCCGTTAGAGAGTGCGCGCAGGGGGGATCAGCGGAACAGGGGGGATTTTCTGTGTGGTGCGCAGAGGGATAGGGGGGAGGATGCGCGGAGGAATGGGCGCAGGGATGGATGGTGGGAAGAGAGAATGGATGGACGGAGGGATGGATGAATGCTTGAAAGTGGGAATTAGCTGTGCAGGGATGCGCGCAGGAGTGGGGAGCGGAATGGGGGGAAGGGTTGGCGAAAGGATGAGGGGAAGGATTGGCGGAGGGATGGACGGAAGGATGGGCTGAGGGATGGTGAACGGAATTGGCGGTGGGAAAGGGGAAGGGATAGGAGGGGGCATGGGGGAAGGCGAAGGGGGAGGCTTGGGGAGAGAGGTGATGTAAGGGATGGGTGTGAAGCGGAGGAAAGGAGAAAAGGCGATCATGTCCTGAAGGGAGCGGAGGGGACGAGAAGGGGTGCGGGCATTCTACTCCTGGGGGAGGGGGTTCGCTTCCTTGACCCACTTTGTCAATGAGCCCAGTTGCTGCTCCTGCTGCCCCTGCTGCTGCCCCTGCTGCTGCCCCTGCTGCTGCCCCTGCTGCTGCCCCTGCTGTTGCTCCTGCGGCTGCTGCTCCTGTCAATACTGGTTCTAAAACTGCTCTTCCTGCAGCTCCTGCTGGTTTTGCTGCTGCTCTTCCTGCTGCTGTTGTTGCTGCTCTTCCTGCTGCTACTGATTTTCCTGCTGCTGCTGCTGCGTGTAGGGCTGATCTTGTTGGAGCTATTTTTGACCGAGGTTTTGCTGCTGCTGCTGCTGCTGCTGCTGCTGCTGCTGCTGCTGCTGCTGCTGCTGCTGCTGCTGCTGCTGCTGCTGCTGCTGGTAGTGGTGATGGCTGTGCTGCTACTGCTGATGATGGTCCTGCTGCTGTTGGTGGTTGCGGTGGTGATGATGGTGCTGTTGCTGCTGCTGCTGCTGCTGCTGCTGCTGCTGCTGCTGCTGCTGCTGCTGCTGCTGCTGCTGCTGCTGCTGCTGCTGCTGCTGCTGCTGCTGCTGCTGCTGCTGCTGCTGCTGCTGCTAGTGCTTCCACGGATGCTGGTTGTGGTGCAGGAGCTGTTGATGTCACGAGTTCTACTGTTTTCTTAGCTGTTCCTGTTCCCGTTTCTACTCCTACTCCTGCTCCTGCTCCTGTTCCTGTTCCTGCTCCTGCTCCTGTTCTTGCTCCTGCGGAACCTCCTAAATCTCCTACATCGCTCCCTGCTGCTGCTGCTGCTATCATTAGCCCTGCATCCACCTCATCCGATTCCTCCTTCCCTCCTCCTCTATCTTTCCCCATCGCCCGTGCCGCTCCGCCCTCCTCCCCTTCCCCACATGATTCCATCATCTCTCTCATCTTCCCCTCTCCGCTATCCTTTTGAGACGCCTCAAAAGTCATCTCTCTCATCTTTTCCTCGCTGCTATCCTTCCATTGACTCGGAGTGGTTGTGCCCGCTCCGTCAACTGTCCTCCCACTCACCTCTATCCCCCGCCTCAACCCTCCATCGTGCCCTGATTCTTCACCCTCGTCTTCTTCCTCTTCCCTTTCTTGATCTCTTTCATATCCTACTTTCTGAGCCCCCTCCCCTACCACCACTAGTACAGCCATTGGCACCATCACCTTGACGTTTCCACTACCCTTCCCTTCCACTCCCACTACCCTCTCCTCTTTCCTCCTCTCTCTCCCAGCCTCTGCCTCCGCCTCCTCTTCCTCTTTCTCCGCATGATCCTGCCGCTGCGTCACAAATTCACCCTCCTCCAGTTCCACCTCCCATCCCTTCACTCCATCATCCCGTTCCCTTTTCCTCTTCAGATTTCTTTTGCCTTGCACCGCCGGTTCCCCGCCCACTGTGGGCTCTGACAATGGAAACAAGTCCCGATCCGACGGTGTATTTCCAGAACAAAATTCCTGTCCACCAGTACTGTTGGTTCTTTCAACGTGGGAGCTCATGAAGCCGGCTGGAGGCGGCTCAGAAGCAGGTGTGAGGAAAGCAACAGGAACAGCTATCGGCCGCAGCATCCCCGGTACTAATACTAGTACTACTACTATACTACTAATACATGTCGATGAGTCATCACCTGTCACACGGAGTGTGGCAGTGGCAGGAGCATGATGATGATCCGGCGCATAGTACTTTGGCCTGACTCGTCGCGATCTACCGGCGCGGCTCGACGCAGAAGGAACTCCTTTCACTAAACTGTGGAACAGAATTGAGCCTACTAGGATGGAGCAGCCTGCGTTCCGGCCAGGAGCCCTGCACTTTTCTGGCCAGGGGAATTGAAATAGTTGTACTACTATATCGTTTGATACGAAAGGCACTACAGCTTGTACAAGTTGGTGCTCCTAATAGTAGTAGTGCATAGTAATAGGGCCGCGGCAAGAAGCCGTTTCCACCTCGTAGTAGTATAGCAAGCTTGAGCAACGCGCAACGATGATTCTGGGACCATACATGCTAGTAGATTTCGGGTTGCGGGGTATAGTGTTCAAAGTAATGCAATTTCGCTGGCTGCTTCTTGTTGGAATGCTCTGCAGCAGCAAGCTGAATTTCGGGTCGAGAGATTGGATTGCTCTTATTACATCATGATGACATTAGACAAGTTCTGCAGCAAGTTGAGATCGGTTCAAATAGTTGCAGGTGGGTTGGGCTGCTTCTTTTTCGGTGGTGCTAGAACCTGTCATTCCTGAATATGAGGGGTGGAAGCGATGGGCAGAAGTACAGAACAACCCCTTGGCCTTGTGGGCTGTACGTGTATACATGGACGTACTCGAGCAATGCTTGTGAATTCGTACAGTAGTACTTGCATTCCGGACTTGGGAAAAGTAGCTGGCTGATGGATGAATCTCTGTGGAACAATGTACTGTATTGTACACGTAGTGCTGAATAGTGCTTCTATGACATGTCCTCACGGGTAGGGCAGGGTAGGGTGGTTCCGAATGTTTTTGGTCAGCTCAAGCAGGTCCTCCGGGGATGTGGAGTGCCAGCCTGTCGAATGAGGGGTCATCACTGTGGCGTTGGGCCCATTTGTGACCAGATGCGGCCTGTGTAGTCGCCGAGCACGAATGATAGATTGGATAGATGCCCCAACTTGTTCTGAAGACCTTCCAAAACAAGGGTTTTATTCAAACACTAGAAGCTTAAAGTGCCGCGAAGGTCAACTCGCGAAGGAAACTTACAGTATCCGAGCTGGCTCTCATGGTGTAAATCAGGACAAATGAAACAATGAGGCTAGCGTATTTTCATGGAGTAATTACTCTGACTGGTTTCCAATGGTGTTTCGAACGTGAACGGACCTGCACCAGCCGTAGAACGCGGGGTCGCGCATTTGGCGCGTACACACACGAGATGATGCGGGTTTACGGTTCGCATGAGAAATGGAAGCGGGTGTGCTTTGTGCGGCGCGCCACCGCCATGATACGCAGATGGAAAGACAACTGTACAGTACCGACACACCGACTTGCGGTACAGAATTTCACATCACGGAAATGACAAGCATTTTGGAGCCAACGTGCTCTCACCTGGTTGGGCACTTCTGTCATGCATTTTACAAATGTGATGTGATAAGGGGGTGTCCAGCTCGTACATTTACTGTTCGTAAGCCCGCTCAGTTACCACATTTTTTGTTGTAACACTGTATTGAACGTGTCCTGCGGACACAATCAGCTTTCGTTCACAAAACGGCACGCCCCCTGCACGTACCTCATGTCGTCTGACTCACGTTACTGGAATCAGCGGGGACACGAACAAGGGTACAGCACCGCGTCCTGGCCACTACAGTAGCGCCCCCTGTATCGCTTGCACAATTTCGCCAGTAGCTCGCTACACTCGTCAACACACCCCCCGCCTGCCCAAAAAATCGTTAGCTATGATTGACGACGGAAACAGTTACCTCGTTTTGAACGCGATCAGAGCACTGTTGATTCGTGTGGCGGAGAACGTGTCCGCGCTCCTGAAATTACATGTAGGTGGGACTCAACTCACAATGCATTCGTTTTTAGGTACAGTGAATATTTTTGAACCTCGAGACGTGTGTTGGCACTAAAAACCCCGAAATGAACGAACTGGACACCCCCTAATTCGTCCATTCTGTACGTTACACCGTACACGGATACTCGTTCGTACAGTTACGATTTTCTTTTGCCCCTCCATCTCCAACCAAACCTTCAGCTGGATTGGAGTTTGGTTAGCTGCTTCAGGAAGCGCACAGTCAAATCTAATTTGTTTTACGTGAACTCGACACCGATTCCCTTCCCTCACATATGGCTGCTGCAAGCTTGCGTGGTGCCCCTACCCCTGGGGGCTGTTCGCCAGCACCTTTGAAGCCAAGAACCACGGGATAACGACGGGATCAGGAAGGTGGTTCTCGCCTTCCTGATCCCGTCAGTTAGGGTTCGTTAAGCTCCGTCAGCCTGGTCAGCCCGTAAAAATGCTGCCGAGCCTCTCCTATCGTCCAAACCAGAAACCAAAGCGGGGGCGTGGCGAACGCCCCCATTTCGAAACCAAATCGAACTGCTCGACCGCAACTTCATCCCCAAGCAGAATTCCCTCCCCAAGCTATGCCATCGCCATCAAGCCCTCAGAAGTCAGCGAAAAAAGGCTGATTAGGGGAAAAAAGGCTGTGATTTCAGTGGTGGGGGAATATTGAGGCTGCTGTGTCAGTTTTTTTTTTGAAAGCGTTTGCTGAAAGTTCAGTTTTTTTTAATCGGTTTTTGCTGAAATATCAGATTTTTTCCAGTAGGGTACGCTGTATCGTCAGAGTTGTAAGAAAGGGTTGGGCTGAAATCCCTGTAGTGGAGATTCGCGTAAGAGCCCTGAATTCCGGACGTCTAGGTACACTGCTTCGACCCCGCCTCCGTCAATCACGCCGAAATGGCAAGATTCCTTGCCAACGCATTCGGGAATGGCATCATTCCCGAATGTTCACTTCACTGCTGTCTTATCGCGAAGGTATCTTCGCTCCTGATTGGTTGTTTGGGCAACCACATCACTCTCTGGCGAATGGAAAGTCAACAGCGCTGCACAACGCACGCACGTTGCAGCAGCACAGCACCACAAAATGGTTGCCGCGCGATTAGGAAACCCCCCCACCCCACCCACCCCGAAGCTGCAACCAGGTACGTGCATGGGGCGCGTCGCCTTGTATCGTGGCACGGTTAGCTTGCCAACCAAGCCCGCTTCATCAGCTCGTTCTTGCATATCCCCAGGCAGTTGCTGGACTCCCCCACCCCACACCCTAGCCCGCTAGGGTTTCATTTCTGTTCCTTTGCCCCTAGCACCAAACAATTTTCTGCACGCTCTCTCAGTGCTCGGCACGCTCTCTCTGTGCTCGGCTCGCTTTCGTCTCTGTTCCACCATGGCTGGCCATGGCGCCGGCCTTTCAGACGACGAGGGTGACGCCGATGTAGACGACGCAGATAGCATCGCCATAGAAGAAGCCCGTACTGGGCTAGATCTTCTGCTAAGATCTTTAGGCCGCCAACTACCACCTCCAGCGCCCACTGCACCCGGTCCGGTTCCTACAGTGGCGGGTAACCCGAACGTGCCTTCCAGCCCGGATTCCATCCGGTCCGTCCCTCCCGCGCCGCCTGGTGTTTCCGACACCGTTCACGTCGGCACATCGGCGTCGAAGTCGTCAGCACCGCGCACAATCAAGCTTAAGCAACAGAAACTGAGCTTCTGGAAGCCATCATCCAGCGTCCCCGTATCTGAAGCTGTTGTCAACGAAGCCACCGTGCGCCCGTCTCTGGACATCAACGTTCAGGAGATTGTTGATGCGATTTATGCCGAGGCACTGGATAAGTACAAAAGTAAGTGGATTGAGCGTTTCCCATGGCTTGTACTTACCAAAACTGTTCGTGGTCTGCCTGCTTTCAAATGCAGTCTCTGCACGAAGCACGCCGGTGTCAGGGGACGTTGCGGCAGGACAGGCAAAGGTGCTACCGACGTCCAGACGCAGGCCTTTCGCAAGCACGCCGGGACGAGGAAACACAAGCTGGCATTGGAGAAGCAAGAGGCCCTGCTTGCTGCCGCGTCTAAACAGCCCCGCATCGACGATCATCGTGCAGCGGTCGATGCAGAGAAGATCCGGGCCACGTCACTGCTTGAGGCGCTTCTGTTCATCAGCGACTGCGACGCACCCATGGGGACATGGGTGAAGCTGGTGCAGTATCTTGCCCGGAAAGGCGTTCAAGGTTTCCCCAAGAAAGGCTATGGGACTTATTATACCACGTGAGTGGTTATAACCTTTGTTGTTTACGTTGTTTTACAGACGCGGAGTCACTAATGTTGTATGCCTTGTATTCTGGTAGGTACGGCTACGGCGAACTGACGCAGTCTCTGGCAACCTGGCTACAGATGACCCAGCTGGAGCATATCCTCACAAGCCCCTTCATCGGCATCGCCATCGACGAAAGCACAGACCGCGTCCAGGGGAAACACCTTATTCTTTACGCCACCTTCGTTCGGGATTCTGTCGTGGTGACAGAGTTCATGCAGTTGATCACCGTTGAGAAAGCTGATGCCTCGACCCTCTTGAGCCTTCTGCTGTCTCACTTGCAGGCCGTGGGTGTTGAGCTGCAGAGGATTTCGTGTAAATTAAGAAAAACAGGAATGGGAATGACTAAGTGAAAGTTGGGTACAAGAAGCAAACCCTAGAAAACTGTACCCCATATGTGCTACCCCACTCTAGCCTACAGTAGCTATGTCATATAAATCTGACACACCCCCATAGGCAAAGTGGGGGAGAACAAGGGGTCACAAGACCAGTCAAGCAAAGCAAAGCAAAAACAAGCTCAGGGTGGATCACAAAGTCACCACACATTCCGAGCACAAGTTCAAGGCCACAAGGCCAGTTCACAAGCAG